TGAAGGGCAAGGCCCTCTCTGGTGTGGGCAGGGAGGGGTTGTGGAGCAAGTAGATGCCTAGGTGGCCCCAGCCCATCTCCTGACCCATGGGCAGCTACAGACGAGGGCAAGAAGTCCTCCATGACTGACCCCGTTCTTGGCCGCAGGCGTCCTGAAAGCCTGCCTTCCGGGAGACCAAGCCTCCGCAGGCCCCAATGATCCTTGAGTGCCAGGGCTGTGTAGACAGGGTGACCGTTGCTAGCACAGATTCCCCCTCTGCCCCCTCCACCTCCCCAGGGCCCGTTAGTGCTTCTGCCCCAGGGCAGTCTGGGTAACATCCAGGCCCTTTTCTGGGAGGATGCCCATAGTGGGGAGCCACATGTGCCGAGAAGAGGGAGCCTGGCAGCTTGGGATGAAATGCTGCAGACAGTTCGTGCGTGCCTGCCGCAGAAATCCAGGGGGTGGCTAGTCTGAGGGGGAGGAGAACCAGGAGGAGAGGTGGAGAGCTCAGGGTTAAGGGCTTTCTAGCCAGGCAGCACGGGGTTCGAGTCTCTGCACCCTTGTCTCATGGAGTGACCTCAGGCAGTCAGTTGCTTGTTTTTCCCCAGTTTCTCCATTTGTAAAAGGGGGTTGGCATTGCCCCTCCCCAGGGCTGCTGGTGACAGAGGATGCAATGGAAGTGCTCAGTGCGGGCCGGGGGGGGGCGCTGACTTGCACAGTGGGGGCTGGACAGGCGCAGCAGTAGGAAAGGCCAAGGAGGGGGCCCTGCAGGGTAAGAGTCTGGAGTGTAGAGAGATCGGTGAAGGCTCAAGGGGCAGGGATGCAGGTGAGCAGGGGGCCTGGCCAGAAAGTCAGGCTGGGGGAGGGGCAGGGTAGAAGGGGCCTTGAAGGTCTGTCTGGCAGAGGCACCTGGGCACAGGGCAGGCAGTGCAGGGGCAAGGGAGGAGGCTTCCTCCAGCCTCATGTGGCACTGGTACCCTGTGCCTGGGGAACCATGGATGGCAGTTGGCAGGGTAGATGTGCCTAGGCAGAGCTGGCCTGGGACCACCTGTCCCCCGTTGAGAGGCCCTCCCAGATTCTCCCTGTACCTTCTTCCTGACATACACACATAGCAGAGACCCCAGACCTGCAAGAGCACTGAGCTTGGCCCCAGTGGCATCGACGGACTTGAGCACCTGAGGGTGGGAATGGGGCAGCTGTAGGCTGCAGCCCTGTCCTCTCTGGCCAGAGAAAGAGGAAGGAAACAGACAGGCAGACACTGGGGCAGGGTTCTGAGGTTGGCACTTGGCCCATCCAGTGGGACAGTGGAGCCTGCACTGAGAGTAGCCAAATAGGGACATTCAGACAATGGGGAGTAGGAGAGTCCCATTCCTGCCCCTTTCCCGCAAGCCCAGCGGCTGCCTCTGTGTGGGCCAGAAACTCAGGGAGGCCAGAGTGATGGGGCGCAGGGCCAATGTCTCGGGAGAGTGCCAGTCGCTGCAGAGGACAGACACTGCTCTACCCCCACAGTGACCTCTAGCCTATGCACCCCCTCTCTGGATTCCGACTCCCTGACAGAGTGTTGGTGTACCCTGGAACCTCTTGGGGACTCAGGCCCTGACAGCTCCACAGGCCCATGAGAGATTGGGGATGTCAGGCTGAAGGCACTAGGTGGGGGACAGTGTGGGCCTGGAAACCCAGAGGCTCTGCCAGCCCTTTCCCGGGCCAGGCGTCCCCATGCCAAGATGGAGCACAGCAGGTTTTCTCCAGCCTCATGCGGCAGGCAGGAACAGAGCAAGGCTTTCGGGGAAATGCATCCGGCTGGGATATGCTGATGGCAGCAGCAGCAACAGGGAAGATGTGACACCCACCCCACTCAGGGAGCCCCCAGCAGATCCAGGCCTCGGTGATGGGGCAGAGTCACATTCCCATTTCACAGATGAAGCACTTGATGCTCAGAGAGGGAACTGCTTTGCCCAGGTCATTCAGCTGCTGAGTGGCAGAGCTAGACTTCAAGTCCAAGCCCCCAGACTTCAAGTCCTGGCACCAGCCAACAGGAAGGCCAGTTTGCTGTCCAGAGCTCACACAGTCCTCCCTCTCCTTCCGGCTCTACCATCTATGATGTTCTGATTTGTAATGTCCTGTTCTGAGCCAAGCCCGGCACCATCAAGCACTTACATGCTTGATTTTCATATTTAGTCATCCCCGTGGCCCCATTGGACAGGTGAGCAAACACCAGCCAAGGTCACTCAGCCAGGATGTAGGAGAGCTGGGATTTGAACCTGAGTCTGTATGACTTAGAGTTGACTCTATGGCTGAGAAGGTGGTCCCTAAACTTGGCCTTAGGAGTCACTGGGGCTGGGGCAGGGCTCTTAACATGGACAAAGGTACAGAGGCAAACCTGAGGTGTTGAGCTGGATAGGCCAGGGAGGGCGGGCGGAAGGGACACATGGACATGGAGGTGGCAGTGTTTCAATTTATCTAGTGATCTTGGGAGGTTGGTCCTGCCTGAAAAATGGCTGTGGGGCCCATGAGTTGCCTCCAGGCCTGTCGTCTGCCCACATACCCCATGATTCGCCTGACCTCCACTATCTTCTGCCCAGCCCAGGGCATTTCCTCAGGGTTTCCAGAAGGGGTTCAGGGCCTCCAATTGCAGCAGCCCTGGGCTCCGGGAGCCACACCTAGCCCCTTTCAGGGTGGGAGGGACTGTCTGGACCCCAGCTCATTGCAGGGGAGGGGGGCAGCACCTACTGCAGCCCCACTGGGGGTTCAGGGTTTTGCAATCCGACCCTTAGATCTCTAAGTGATGACCTCACACCAGGAGGTGCAAGAACTTCTGTTCAGCTCCTTTCTCTGTATGCTTCAGATGGGTGGGTTCCCCAAACCAGTTAGCCATTAATATAGCAAACGTTTATGCTTTAATGACAGGCACTGATCCAGGTAATGGGGACACAGCCATGAACAAGACCGACCTGGTCCCTGCTCTCATGGCACTTGTAGTTCACAATCCAATGTAGTCAGTGCAAGGAGAGGGGAAGAGTGGGAGCCCAGAGGACGGCCAGAGTCAGCCGCGAGGCAGGGAGGGCACCAGGGAGATGACACATCCATGCTGGGAGCCAGGGGTGCATCAGAGCGCACCATGGGAGGGAAGAGCATTCCAGGCAAAAGGAGCCGCGTGTTCAGAGGCCTGGAGCTGGAGCAACCCTGGTGCCCACAGGACTGAAAGAGCCCCTAGGGCTGGAGTCCAGGACACCCGAGGTGGGCAGAACCTGTGGCTGGGTCAGGGAGGCAGCAGTGCCAGCCAGAGACCTAAGTGTGTGTATGGGGCAAGAGGAGACGGAGGGGGTGCCTGGTTGCATGGCCAGTACCTTCATCTCTAGCAGACTCCCAGGTGAGTCTCCATAACTGTCAGGCCTCTACTCACATACCTCTGGGGATGGGGAGATCACCACTTCTTAGTGGGTCAGGAAACCTCTAGATGGGACATGGCCTAAAGCTGCCAGAGTCCAGAGTTCACAGAAACCCCTGGACCTTGCCCAAATCTCCCATCCCAGCTGCTCTCTTGCAGATTATCAGGTCCTTCCTGGGATGGGTAAGGGAAAGGTTCAGAGTCAGAGGATCTGGGGGCAACTCAGGTGTGGCTCACTGTTTCTGTCTTGGCCTGCATGTCAGCTAGTCTGACCTCTAGGTCTTGGGTGCAAACACCAGGTGGGAAAAACCTGATGAAGCTTGGGGCCTCGGTTCAAGCCACCTTGCTGTGTAGCCTGGGACATGCAACTACCCTCTCTGAGCTATAGTGGGACCAGCAGGATCAGGGGGTGACCACACGCGTAGGATCCCACCATCAGTTTTAGGGGTTCATAGACCCCTAAGGCCAGGCCCAGGCCAGCCTAACTCCTGGCCTCACCAGAAATAGCCCTGACCTCACACTGACTTTAGGCCTCATTTTCGAGGTCTGCAGCATGAAGGCATTGCATCTGTCTCTACTCGATATGTGCCCATGGACACTGTGCGTGCACGCGTGCATGTGTGTGTGCGCACACACACACCTGAGGTCACCTTTGCCTGCTGAAGTCCCACCCAGGGAAATAACTTAAGCAAAGGCCAGGAGGCTGGCAGGTGAACTGAACAAGGAGACTTCAGGGAGTTGGAGCAGAGAGGGTGTGAATGGAATGAGATTTGCTCTCCCCCAAAGGAAAATGCTCCTTAGGGCCCTTCTTGGACTGGGTAACAATGAAGGGACAGGACAGCTGGCAGAGAAACAGAGGTAGAGTTGGGAAGGTTAGGACCCTCAACAGTTCCTGGATGTCCTTGGTAAAACCCTGTTGTCCTGACATCATTACCACTCATTTTACTATGGGCAAGTCTGAGGCTCACCCAAGGTCACCCATTGGGTTGCTTATCCTCAGGCTCCCAGCCTGCTGCATTGCTCCCCACCCCTGAGTCACCCAGGGCCTCAGGCCTGTCTACCCCTCTGTATAATGGAGTGGAAGGAGCAACCCCCACATCTGAGCTGGGTGGGCCTCCTGGAGCCCTTCCATCTGGCCTCCCCTCTCCCCCAAACCTTGGGCTCCCAAGGCAGCCTGCCCTGAGCCGTTAGCCAGCACAGCTGCCTCACGTGCCTGCCATTAGACTGTTGGCCAGTGTTAACCAGCTGAGCAGGGTGGGGTGGGGTGGGGTGGGGTGGG